CATTCCTGCAAAAGAAAACACTGAGGCCAGCAGCTGCACGTACAATGATCAGTTATAAAGTAAAGACAAAGGGAGGTGTGTATGGGGGAGAAGTGGGGAGGAGAGGGATCACGATTCGATATAAATTTCTGCTACGGGAAACAACGAGAGTCTACGGGAAAGTTTTTTTTTGTGTGAAAGTTGACATGTTTCTTCAGTCCGGTATTTTTTTTTTCAAAATTTGGACAAATTCTTCCATTGTTGTCAGCTTTCAAATATATGTTCAACACGAGTTGACTAAAGCAGAGTAGTTGGACCTGCAGCCACTGATCTTACTTTAACCCCCCCCCAACAAACCCCTCACTGCTTTCTAAAATTCAGCAATTACGACTTCAAATGTCACGCAGGGGATCCCTGCATGCTTAGAATTTCACTGATGTATACATACGCTTTCCGCCAGATGGCATATGTATACCTTTTCACTGTACAGTTCATAAGCCTATTTAGCACCTTTATGTTAACTGGCAATTTGCTTTCGGAGCACAGTGTAATGTGCCCCCCAAATCAGCCCGGCGTTTATTTGTTTTTCCAAAAACAGATGCTCGGCGTCTGCAGCTTTCACACTCGGACACTGATTTGTTCAACGCCACTACTAGGTAGGAAGCTCCGCCCTCTGCCACTGAGATACCAGAACTATGCCTCCAATGATCAGAATGTGGTAGAAATGGCTGCCTACTTGTCTTAATTGATCCACGCCTTATGGTCTGAGCTTTCAGTTTAATGAATTCTATCCAGCTGTTGCATCTGTCTGCAAAGGAACTGTAATCAACTGATGTTGCTGGAAACACAGACAGGAAAAAAAAGAAAAAGAAAAAACAAAGGAAAGTATATGGATGATGTCCCTTTGCCCAGTGAAGTGATCCTTTTGATGAACTAAGTATCTGTATCCAAGAGCAAACGACTCTCCCACGGCTTCCAAAAAAATCTGGAACTCAGATTCAGTACAGTGTTTTGTCTAGCTGATGGGACCTTACCAGTGGGGTCACAGCTGAGTATCACCTATGTAAGATCCTTGTTTGGAAACTTATTTCTGGAAAAGATAGTTTCAGCTGCGTAGCTAGGCTGGGCTGCAGTAGAAAAGCAAGATTTGAGTCGAATAGCACCGTAAAGAACAAGATATTCCAGGGTATAAACTGCAGAGAATCACATGAAGCTGCCTTCTACTGAATTAGACCCTTGGTCAGTCAAAATCAGTACTGTCTATTCAGTCTGGCTGTGGCTCTCCAATTTTTTCACATTCCCTAATACCTCATGCTTTAAACCAGAGATGCTGGGGATTGACCCTGGGACCTTCTGCACGCCAAGCAGAGGCTCTACCATTGAAACACGTCTCTCTTCATTATGATGAGCTTGGATTCTCAAAAGCTTACACCCTGGAAAATCTTGTTGGCGATGCCCCCTCTAAGCTGTGGAGTCTTGTGAGCAAAGAGTGACTCTTATCTTATCAAGTTCCACAAACATTAGCGAGTTCATGAAAGGAACCAGGGCTACCTGTGCCATAGGCCTGGCAATGCTTTGAGAGAGTCTCGTTGTCGGCTCGATTCTGGGCATTCTGGAAAACCCTGTGGCCCACAGCAATGCTTGGAATTAGTGCAGAGTTGCAAGAAATGCAGAGGCTTCTGTAGGGCAACGGCAAGAGTGTGCTGCGCAAGCCAAACCTGCCCGTTTAGAAACACACACTGAATTTTTAGGCACTGCAATACTTCTCACACTTAAATGGGCCCTTCGACTAATTAGCAAGAGGAGTAGAACAAAGTGTGAGTCCAGGGGCACCTTTAAGACCAACAAAGTTTAATTCTGGGTATAAGCTTCCATGTGCGTGCACACTTCTTCAGATATCTTCATAAATTAAACTTTGTTGGTCTTAAAGGTGCCACTGGACTCACACTTTGTTCTGTTGCTTCAGACCAACATGGCTACCCACCTTAATTTAGAAACAGGATTTTGGGTGGGGATCACACGGAAGCATCTATTTGGGATGCACATGTTTGATGCTACAATTTGCATTTCAGGAGGCTCAAAGAAAAGCCACTGGACAGTCATGGCAGCAGCATGCACTGGCCTCATGTGAAGATGTCACTTCATACCCCTCCATGTGACTCCTGAAGAGAGGAACGCCTGCTGGTGGTCTCACAAATTCCTACAAGAAATCATTTGTGGGCCTCCACTGACCAGGCCACTGAACGAGGCATCCCCATATCAGTTCAACTTGCCACGTATTTAGCTCACCAGTACATTAAGAAATCATCTGTTCTGGACTAACAGGAAACCACAGCATGTGAAACATCCAAGAAACCTACCTCTGTGAGGTCAAGCACAAAACGTGGTATGTACAGTGGTGGGAGGTGACATGTCACTGCAGCTGGGCAAATTGCAACAGGAGCATTCAGCTCTGCCCCACATATAGTTAAAACACCATTTATGTTTTAGAACAACTGCCATGGGGTTACACCAGTGGTGGTGGGGGGATGGCAACAGGACCTTAAGAGTCCTGTGCTGAGGCCAAGCCGTGGTCCCATGCTCTGGTGCCATTGCATTAAGCAGTTCCAAGACTTGCACTGGGTCCCTGCACCAGGCATATCCTCAAACTGCCCATTCAGATAGTTTTAGGCCTGATCTGAGGAGCTACTGGACCAGTTCACCAAGCCACGGGCTCCATAGTTGTGTTTGGCTCTGCTGAGATTCGGTTGACGATTCCAGCACTTCCCCTGACAGGAAGAGCTGCAGATGAATGCACTGTTTCTGCTATGGAAGCGCCACCTCTTCTTCAATGAAGTTACCCTCACGGTGAAATCAGATTACTGAATGTTCAAAGGCAGGCATCAATACCGGTATCGAGATTAACCACAGCAGCATGCAATGCCCGTATATTAAGTGATGGTTAGCTTTCCTCCCTCTGTAAAAATACAAGAGGAACGCAAGACGAACATTAACGCAGGTTCAAGAACTGAAGAATTAGTAGTTGTTTTTGAAAATTCCTTCCAGAAAACAGTGGCAAAGTAGGACACTCTGCCATTTCCAATCCTGTCTTTAGCGTAAGGAAATATATTTGGGTGAACATACTCAGATATCAATAAGCCACATCAGAGCATGCGTCCCAAGGCAGCTGGTACGTAATTCCTGAATGCTTAAAGGCACCTCCTAAGAGTACCCCAACATAGCCAGGAATGCATTCCCTGTTCTGGCTTAGAGCTTGATCAAGTAGACTCACCTCTCTGGCCAGCTGGGATACCTGTGTGGGAACTTGCATTCTCCAGGTCCTCTAATAAGACAAAATGAATTCCACTGATGTGATATAAGCAATTTTAACTGCATTCACACAGATTTTTTTTAAAATGTTATCGGGTTTTTTAGCAAAGAAACAGCTAGAGAAATCTTGGGTCATGTTCTCCTCGCATTGCTGCCGACAACATCCACTGTGCACAGTGTACTAATCACAACGTCATGCAAAGTAAACAATGCAATGCATTTGAGGCAGATTTGGTAAAGGGACTTGGGCTTATTCATGTTTAAAATGTCACCTCTAAGCCAATGCCTTCAATCCCTCCTAGGAAACTTGCTTCTGGCACTCTGCTTTTAATAAGAAATCTGCAGATCTGAAGATAAGCTGTTGAAAGGAGAACCACAGGGGGGGAGGGTCTTTGGAGTAGCTATCTCGGCAGTGTGGAGACCATCAAACAGCACGTAAAGGAACAAACTTGCTATGCAGTAAGAGGGATTAATAGATAACTTAGGGCTCTTCCATATTCTCATTTCCCTCACTTGTGTGTTCCTATCATTTTAGGGTTCCCCCCCCCTTTTCTACATGTGTTTTGCTCCCTCTAGTGGTCAATTCGATATTACATCGCTGTATGTCCGGCATAAAAACCTGCAGTTTAAATCTGGACACACAGCGAGGAAAATGAGAATATGGAAGAGCCCCAGTGTGATAAACTGAAGTTGGCAGAAGAGGCAGATGAACTAGGAGACGAAAAGACTAGAAGGCAGACAGCTACAGAAGGACAATTAAATATAGAGGTGAGAGCATTATACACACACTTAATTCAAGCACTCACTCACTAAAAACATAAGTCAGATCACAACTAAAGTTCCTTCAAATGCCTGCAGGAATACCTGTGGTTCAAATGTCTGAGGATGAGTCGCTGCCCCCGGCCCCTGGTACTTATTAGTTTTTGATGGTGATCATATCTGGATCTGAGCAGCAGGGTTTTTTTAAAATAATGGCCTACAAACAGCTCTTCAACCACCTCCTCCCCAAGAGGAAGAGTCGTAAAGGCTCTGACAGCTGCTTTATAACACAGCTCAGCGGCTCACTCCCCACAGAACAAACATGGAGGGCTGAGGATCAGGGCTTCTGCGGAGTCCCAGCACTGCTATTTGCCTATCTCTCACCCGCAATGTGGATGTGAATTCTAAAAGGCAAATCTACTGGCATGGGAAGAAGATGCTCCAAACTTCGCTGTCCCGAAAAAGAGATAAGCCGATATGAAAATTTTCTGTTTCTCTGCTGAGCCGGCCAAAAGGCCAGTGTACAGTCTTCTAAACTGTCCAAGTTGTACGTGGTACAGAAATGGGAAACCAGCAAATTCCTGATTTAGGTCAACAGAGAGGCTCTTAATGTGCAGGGAGGTCTCTAACCCCCCCCCCCAAAAAAACCCCACCATGCAAGAGAATTCTGGCATACCATCTCCCACCAGCAGACTGAAGTGGTACAGTTCAGGATTGTTATCGCATGCTTTTTTTGGCTTTTTTTTTAGAGAACATTACTAAGACTGTATCATTATCACTGTGGTTTTGGGTACTGCATTTTCGTTCCGACAGTGCGTAAGCGTTGAACTGTTTCTTTCCTACGCATTTCTATACATTTCCTCTCTTCTTTCAAACAGGATCGTCTGTGTTAACTTCTCTTTTGTCCTCACAGCCAGGTTCCCTTTCCTCTGTGATTAAGTCTTGTATTTAGAAGCCTAGCATGAGGCACAGTCATTTTTAGCCAAGTAATTTGTTACTCAGCCCCTTGTGGGAGAATCGCAAGCTAACAATAGCACATTTAGAAAAAACACTCAACTGTTCCTGGCGTCGGTGACATGCGCACTGAATCTCACACTAAAAAAGAGAAACTGGGGTACATACTATGCTCTGCGTGTGATTATAATCTTCTTCCCGTTTTTTTTTTTCTGCTGCAGCCAACAGACTCTGTGTGTTTTATTATGCCTTGTTCAAATGGAAGAAAAATCAGTTCAAAGAAAATCTGGCTCATCATTTCGGCCTTACGGGGAGCCAGTGTGGTATGGTGGTTAGAGTGCCGGACTAGAATCTGGACCCCCACTGGAGAGAAAGGCAGGGTATAAATCAAATAAGAGTAATAAATAAATAAATAATAAATAGAATACAATCAACAGGGCTCAGTCTTTGCTTGGTCTCAGACTTTTTTTCCAGATTCTTTCACCCGCACATAATTTCATCTATGCAAGTCTCACAGATCCATAAGGCTAGCAGAAGCCCCAAAGGAGATCGCATCTGATGCCTTTGTCATAAGCCAGGTTCTTTCACACAGCCATTGCCTGCAAACTAATCCATAACGGGCCAGAGTGACCACACGTTGCCCCTAACAGACAACAGGGATAAACACTAAAGACTTGAAATATTCAATACTCCTCAGGGACGTTTCCTATTTTCCTCACATACACGATTAAGGAAGCTGACAGAAAACAATCGAAGAGCAGACATGTTTGGGAAAGCGGAACAACCAGACTCAGCTGCATGCCTTGCAAAAGTCTTGGAACCGACTATATATCATATATTTTCATTTAACCGAGCATTAAGATTATGGGCACCTTTGGCTGTTTTCTTACGGTTTTGCTTCACAAATTTCCTATCATGTGACGAAATGTCGAGGTGCCCTCCTGAGGGCCTTTCACTGGTTTTCTTCCAGAGCATTAAGTCTCACGGGCCTTGAAGATGCACAAAACTTGTTTGCCACAGTTGACTTCTGTCTCCAGTGTGGTATCAGGGTACAACTAGACAGAAGACCCTGGAGATTCATGATTCCATGACCTGTCAAGTTTTTGTAAATAGCAGCCATTGATTGGGACCATGACTGGGGAGGGGGGGAGATCTGACCTCCCCCTTCCTTCACTAGCTGCCTCTCCAGAGAAGCTATGTATATCGAGTAAAGTGCTTGTGCAAGGATTTACACTGGGGGGAAATGATGCAAGGGAAAGGGTTACGCCTGCCTCCTCCAGAACTGGGTTCGTGATCAGTGCATCCTCTCTTTCTCTCTCACACACCGCAGTTTTAATCAATACAGTGAATATTAATAGAAATTTAAAGAGATAGGAGGTCCAAACATGGGTCTCCAACATTTTGTTTAATTTGGCCCTCAGCCTTCCACAGTCTGCTCTCCAAAGTGCTGAACTCGATATAGGAACCATAAAAGCAAACCATGAAGCACGAAAGGAGGCATTGAACGGTGACCCTGGCGGGATAAGGGCAACACACTGTTTTAAATGTGACGCTACAATAAACGGTGTTTTCATCTGATAGAGACGTCCATCTAGTCATACGAAATCTATTACGGAAACTCTTCTTTTTACTCTGATAAAAACCTCCCTAACAGTCCGTATAAACAGAACTATTAAAATTGGCTCAGCCTTTGTATAAATGTCTATTTTTGGATGCTGGCTAGTAGAAATCTCCCCAGCACCCATGTTATCCAGCTAAAGAACAATCTGGTGTTAATTGCTTCACAGGATCATTACAACGCAATCTGGATCACTCACTGTTGTCAACTAACGTGAGTAGACCTACAGGTTTAAGTATATCTCCTGGATCATGGAAGAATGTGATCGGACATTGCTCTAGTTTAGCTACAGTTCTGACAACCGCCAATGCAGTGCAGTGTAGTGGTCAGGGAACCAGACTGCAATAGGAGTGGATGCCCACTTCCAAGGCCCCAATCAGCAACACAGCTCACCGGGTGACCTTGGGCAATCCACTCTCCCTCTCCCTCAGCCTAAGCTAGCTCGAAGGGCTTTCTTTAAGACAAAACGGAGGTGGGAAGTGTTAAAGGATGTGCTTGAAATTGTATTTTATTTGTATTGTGCTGACGTTTGTATGTATGGAATGTACTTGCTTTGTGTATGGGTTTGGGAGAACTGTGTGCTTTGGTCTGCTTGCATTTGGAAGCTGCTATGCTGATGTGCTCTGCCTGCACTGGTATGCTAATGAAGACACACACACACACACCTACCCGCCCTGCCTGGAAAGAAGAAGGCATTCTCCATTACGGTCAGCCAAGAGGACTCTCACAAACAACAGGTCCTCCACCATCAAGGAGTTTCTGGTCAACACGTAACCCTCGTATCTGGTTTGCATCTGAAAGTGACTGTTTCCTGTTTACAGCTTGGGGACCAGCTAAAGTCATCTGTACTACAAAGGTTTCCTTGGCAATACAACTTCACACCTTGACCAGATGCTTCGATTGAGTTAAAGGTTAAGAGTTGAATATTGCCCACTCCCTCTAGGTAGATACGTCACATCCCAGTAACCAATAGGTATAGGGAATGGGACGGACTACAGGTATGAGGTTGGCACAGATGCCAACCCCCAAACTAGGTTTTAAAAGGCGAGGAGCAACCTTTGTTCCTTGCTAGCTAGCCATCTTTACTCCACCTAGGCAACTCAAGTTCTACTATAGGTAATTCTCGCGTGCTCTCTTGGACGGCCGCCAAGAAGGCCACACGTGTTGGCTGGTTTCATCCGTGTGAAGTAGAATCCCTTTAGCTAGATCTTTTGTTCCCGCAGTCTTCATTGAGAAGTTCAGACTCCCTTCTGGATCAGGTAAGTATAACCGTCACCCTTTTCAGTGTTTACCTCCAATTAGGTATTTTCCATACTGATTGCTTTCCATTTCTATTGTATCTGAAGGAACTTGTGAGTGTGTGAGATTGAATCTGTTTTGGTAATGCTTGTGAATTCAACTATTATTCAGTAAAGAGAACAACTTATCCTATAAACATCCAGTCGTGTTGTCTCTTTCTATGGGGAAAAAGGAGTCTCTGTTCTGATTCTGCCCTCTGTATACACTGGTCAAAAGAACCCACAAGCCCCTGTCGTACATAAGACAGATTTGGGCTAAAGGATTAATCTCCTAACGGGGATTTCTCCTAACAGAAGAAGGATGCATGCTGCAGTGAGCTCCTTGGAAGAAGGCTGGGATAGAAATAAAAACAATGAACAGATAAAACCAAATGGCCACGGTTC